TGTTTGTTGTTTTGCAGCTCGTATCATTTTCTTGATTGTGCATCAGTTCTGCTTAGACATGGTACCTGTTGCGTGCAGTCAGCAAAATGCAGCAAATCAGTTTTGTTTGATTGACAACTGCAGAGTAGAGAATACACTAGTCCTGGTATGACACTGATAACATTCCAGCTCATTGCTCTAGTAGAACAAAGTATTTGCACATTTCAAAACTTAAGTTGTTGTAGTCTTGTTCCTGCCAATTTACACTAGGAGTGGTTGCTATATTTGTGGTTTAGTCATGAGTCTAACTGTTGTAGAACTGCATAAGATGCGTCTCAGAGACCTCTGATTTCACTTCTTGTAGTTTTGGTGCTATCAATGAACACTAGGATTCTCTGTAGGATTGGTGTTGAACTGATGTGGAAATATACACTAGGATAATATATGCTTGCTGTCATAGATTGTTACAGTTATGTTTGGCATTGGTGATATCAGACTGCCTAACCATCCGATCTCTACCCAAGGACTGCCTCCCAAGTCCACTGAAAAAATTAGTGATCTATGACTGACGAGCCAATCAATTGCTGACCAAGGCGAATGACCGTCCAAGTTGTTCTTGTGCATAGTAGTTGTATTGCTCCGTTCCTATTAACCTTTCCTGTCCATGAAAACTAAAAAAATATTCAGTTAAATAATTACAAATATGAATAATGTAAATTGCAATTATAGAGCATCGCAATTGTAGTGTTGAGTATACGCAATTTGGTTGTATGAGCTTGTTATATTATTTGTGTTTTGATTTTACCCTAAAAACATTAGGTGATTCCCTACAGGTTGTCTTCAGGTGTTGATGATAATTATTCCTAAGTGTTAACTTGTGTTTCTTGCTCTCAGGACTTCTGCAAATGGCAGCTCAGGTCAGGAATTATTGATCACACCTAGGATGCATTTGAAATTATCGACATTATTCTAACGCATCACTTAGGCAACCAATATTTTGTACTTGTGTGAGTATATAAACAATTGTAAAATTTTAAGTTTATTTGTGCCAATACAAATCTGGTTTTGTCATTATCTCTGTGTTTCTCTATGTGTTTCTTTTCATAGGAACGAATTAAATCTACTCACAGCATGCTTCACATGTACCACCTGTTTTGGTATGCGGGAGCACATACGTGTCCCCTGACTTGTTTGGCAATGGCAATGCCAAGTTTCAGTTCATCAAGGAGCCCAATAGTCTATACAATGTTCACCTACAAGCACTTTTGGTTAGAGTCTATTTATCAGCCTATCCATTTGACTTTTTCTATGCCATCAGTGGCACTGATTGGTGAAGTTTAGGCCTTGCCAACAAGAAGATCATAACACTTATCTAGCCAGTGGCAAGGAGATTGCGGTGGTCCTCTTGACAAATGAACAAAGAAGCAAAACAAGGCCACTAGCCTTTATCACAAGTCTGTAATGTGCAATGAGTTCAGCAAGATGTAATATGCCATCAATGCAATGAGTCAGTTAAGAACCAGGTTAGAACAACTCCATCCCATGCTCAATTGTAATATTTGTACTCTGACGTAGTTCTTAGATTAAGTTGATCTGGTTATAACATATCTTACAATACATATACAATAAAATTGCACTATGGAAAAGTAATAGTTGCACTAATAGCAATGTGTAATTTTCGTATTTTTTATGAATTAGATGGTTAATTGTATTTGTGTTAATAGAGTGTAGATTTGTAATCTATTGATTGTATTTCTGTGTAAGGACATACCAGGAAACTATAGAAAGAATTGTTTTTTGTTTATTTCCTTTGTGTTATAACAACTCATATTTGTGAATTATGTTTGTCGTTGGATTTTGTCATGTTTAGATTTTACTTCTTAAATGTGGTTATGCTTGAAATTATGAGTTGTTCAGGCATTGTATCAAGCCACACTTTCCCTATCTGTTAGTTTCCTGATTTTTTAAAGTCTACTCAGGCAATGTCTCAACCAGACGCTATTGGAGCTCTCACAGAGTAGCTCTAGGGACGTTGTCTGGTGCGTGGTTGCTCTCTCTTCTTATTTGTACATGTCTTCCTCATCTGTTGCATCATGTATCGGATCCCCTTTCCTAATATGCCCATGTGTTTTTTGTGTGTTGGCACACAAATTTTGTGTGCATTGGATCAAGAATCGACGGCTGGTCGCGCCAACTTGCCATTTGACTCTGATTTGCCAGGCCCACCTCTAAGTGTTTGTCGACGAAATATGGTCGGCAGTCCACCGAGGGGGGTGCCCGTGGTGGTAGATTATCGGTAGGATGCGTGTAATCAGGAACCAGATGATTACAGAGACACAAGACACAAGATTTATACAGGTTCAGGCCGTCAGTATGGCGTAAAACCCTACGTCCTATGCTCTATTATTTGTATTGAGATCTGTATGATCTGTTGTATGTGTTGTGTTGTGTTGATCTAGATTGATTTGTCCTCTATGGGACCCCTGCCTCTCCTTATATACTCTGGAGGAGGAGGGTTATAAGTAGAGTATCCCATCTGGTACTATTACAATATCTAGTACAGCTTGTAGCCTTGCGGTGCATGACTTGATCTTACGGGCCAGGACACCTCGGTTGGTGCGGCCCATGTACCATCTTGTGGTACCCGGGGGTTTATACCCCCACAGTGTTCTGTTTTGAATTGGGAGTCGCACCTGTCTGGTTTTCCCAATTCTCCCATCGTCTTCTCCCCTCTGACTCTCTCCTGGTCGGACGCTCTTGGAGAGGCGACCTCGTCACTCCATCGGGCCCTGTCTCCGTGCGTCGCCCCGCCTTCAAAATTGGTTGCTTGCTCGTCGTCTACCATTGCTAGAGCTCTGATGTACCTGTGTGCACCGCTTTTCTCCCTTCATATAAAATTTGCCTCATCTTTTTCCTGATGGATGGAGATTTGAGTGGGGGGTTTTGGGATGTAGCCGGGGGGATTCGAACATTCTGTTTGGCATTGATGTGTAGGTTGGATTTGTGTCGGATTTGGGGGATTTTTGGTTTGTGGCTGTGGATTTGGTTGCAGCCCAATCCTCTCTGTATCGCTTGGTGGTGCAGGTAGTGTCCTCGCTGCTGGCTGTGGGTGGGGCGAATGTCGTCGTGCAGGCAGCAGGTAGGGCAGAGGTTATCTGCGGCAGGAAGCGGGTGGGGCGGAGTTGTGGGTTGGGGCGCTTAATGTACTGCTCTGAAATCTCTGGAAAAGTCCTTGAGAAACTATTACATCACTTATGTGCTTTCTTCAGATAATTCCATGTATGTTTCAGTACTCTAATTCAGTTGTGCTTACTTCAGTAGCCATGACATGATTTAGATTTATTTTATTTTTTTCTCTCGTGCCTTTTGGAGTTTATATAATTTATGTTATGCTCTATCTAGAAAAAAATTGCGATATGTGATTGTGCTTCCACGGAAAAAAATTGTGATCTGTCCTTCCATAGAAAATAATTGTCTCTATGTGATCTGTGATTTTGCTTCCATAGAAAAAAAATTGTTAATGTTTATTGAACTTTTATTTCTATGCTACTTATTGTGCACAAATTATCATAAGGGTTAAAAGTCTTATGCATTCTTGTCTACTTTGAGATGATTCTTGATTGCTTTGTAATATTTTTTTATAAATATATTATTGTTTATTTGATTGTTAAAAGTTTTTAACTCCGCCTATGGTCCATCATAGCAGGTCCCAATCCCTAGTAAAGGATGTGGGTTAAAACTGTCTTTGTTTTTTTTGTTGTGTAGGCTTGAAGACCGAACAATTGGTACTATGGTGGAAAAAATGTAAGTTGTTATTTCCATAGAAAAACATTGTCTCTTGTGATTTGTGATCTATGATCTACGTTTGTTGTTGTAGGAGGCTGGAGGTAGATGAAGAGGTGGTGGGTGTTGGATGTCCATCCTATCATGGCACAAGGCAATGAAAAGTTCAGGTTATATCTCTTAACTGTGGTTGTCATCTATCTGTGGCTCCCATACTTCCAATTTATTTATTGCACATTATTTAGTAATAAACTGCATACTTTAATTTTTGCAATTATGGTGCTGAATATTTGCAATTATTTGATATATGTTATAGAGAGGACTGAGCCACCTTGTCATTGTTTTGGAGTGCATTAGTGATTTAGTCTCTGCCCACCCCAATAGGTAACATTATTTTGGTTGTTAGAGCTTGGTTAAATTGTGATATGAGATTGTGATATTTGAAGGATGCTGGATGTAGAAGGAGTGGGGGTTGTAGTTTTTGTTTTGTGTTTGTCATTTCTGTGATTGTGCTGCTCCTCCCCCTCTATGCTTGTGATTGTATTTATATGTGGACAATTTTTTATAAATTATCCTTCCACAGTAAAAAAAATTATGTCTTGTAATCTGTGTTCTGTCCTTGTGTTAGATGAAGGAGGGTGGATGTAGAGAAGATCTGGGGGGTTGTCAACATAGGATTTGGAAATGTATACTGGTTAGTCTGGTACATGAACTGCAAGTCTTCTTGTCATTTCTTGATCCCTTCTTGTGTTGTCAGGTCAAAATTTTGTAGCGAGTGCCCATCCATGTTGTCAGAACCTGAAAACAAAACAGATGCATAAGATATTGTTTTGATTGCCTGAAATAGTTATCAATATGTGATTGTGCTACTACTCCCCCCCCTCTCTCTGTGATTGTGCTAGTATGAAGGAAAAATATTGTAAATTGTCCTTCCATAGAAATAAATTGTCTCTTGTAACCTTTGATCTATGATTTGTCCTATGTGATGCACAATATGTAGTATTTGCACTATTTGAAATGTGCAATTTTTGCATTCTTGTTTTGTAATATTTGAAGATGATATTCATTGTGCATTTTTTCATCGAGAACATTTCATTATGTGTGAGTAAATATTTTGTGTCAGTAGTAATTTCATCAATATAATGCAGTACACTTAATTTGCATATAAGATTGTGCAAAATCTAGCAGCAATCAGGAGAAACGCAGGATGGAGGCAGAAGCAGGAGAACAAGCACAAGATGGAGGCGCTCAACCTGCGCCACCTCTCCGCCGTCATCAAGGAGGCCCCCAAGACCCCTTCCCCACTGGTGTGATACCACGCCCGCTTCTGCCTCCTTCGTTCGTCTTCACCTGCTATATGCGCCGCCGTTAGTCTGACTGACCCTTTGTGAGCAGAAGCCGAAGAGGCGCAGGATCATCGAGGACACAGTCGTGGTTCCCTCGCCTCCCAGGAGGTCCCGCCGGCTTGCGCAACTCCCTGAGGTCAAGTACGCTGAGGTATCTGTCTTCTTTTGCCTGCTCTGTCTTGCGCAACTCCCTGAGGTCAAGTACGCTGAGGTATCTGTCTTCTTTTGCCTGCTCTGTCTCGTTTTCCTTTTGGACTCTAATAAATGCACATATTTCGCTATTATTTTAGTGATTTCCAGACGTGTTTGTGTGGCCAATGAACATGGTAGTTTCTTATTTTGAGCTCAAGGCTTCCCATTTCTTTCCACCGGAAACAGAGCAACATTTTATTTCTCTGCTCTTAAATTGAAACATTGTGGCATGTACCAACCCATGTGGCCATAAAAAAAAGCACGATCTATTCAGTTTACGAAACCATGTGATTTTGGTAAAGGCAACTGAAAAGTTGAACATTTGTGTGCCACAACAGATTTTTTTTCTTACAAAATTGTTTCAAAAGTCATTGGTTTACAAATGTTTCTTCTGATAATCATCCTGTAATGTAACATGGCACATCGTGCCATTTTGCCTAGCATCCATGTCATGAACTATAAATTTGAACCATTTGTTTTTACTGACAAGTTGTATTTGCCAACAGATAGCACCACACACTGCAGATAGAATGACAAGGTATGTGGACATTTGCTAGCTGCCTAGCCTGACCATAGGAGCTATAAACATATGCTCTGCTCCTCTTAGGTAACAATCCTGTTGTTCCGTTTCTTCCGTAGGTCTCCTAGAAAACCAGCTGACCTCATCTACATGGCAAGAAGCGGAACAATTTCCATGAAAGCTAGGTTGGAGGCAACAAAAAAGGCCGAGGAGCTAGAATCACAGCTTGACCCTGGCATCCCATCCTTTGTGAAGGCAATGTTGCATTCACATGTTGTTCGAGGTTTTTGGCTGGTGAGTACTCAGCTCTACACTCGTTTGCTCTCCCTAGCAACTTATGCCATGTGCTGGTTTTTCTGTATGTATGATCGAAAGGGTCTCCCGAGCCATTTCTGTGACACTTACATGCCGAAGCAAGACGCCATTATCACCTAATTCGACACCAACTACCTTGCCTACAAGAAGGGGCTAAGTGGCGGATGGGCTGGTTTTGCACTATGCCATGGGATTCGGGATGGAGATGCAACAGTTTTTCAGTTGATTAAGCCCACGACCTTCAAGGTACTATATGCTTTAAGTGCAATACTGTTTTTCAGTAGTTCAAAGCATGTTTTTTTCATTTATAATGCTCAGTGCTCATTTACCAATGAATTCGTCTCCCAGGTGTATATCATCTGAGCAGCCTCTGATGATGGCAGTGAGCGAGATGAGTGACTGCATCACGCACAGCCGTACTAACTTAGCAGGACGTGGAATGTGGGATTTTGAGTATTTTTAGGCTTTATCTATCAGAATTGCCCTAGTGTGTATTTTATTAAACCAATGAATTCGGTGCTGCTAGTGAGAGGCTGAACTACTCTTTGCTAATATTAGGCCTCTCTGTCTTCTTAGTTAGTGGGCCTCTTTGGCACGTCTTTATTGGGCTGAACGATAGTTGTGGGCCTTGTTTGCCTGATGGAATTTGTGTGTTGTATTCTCTTAAAACACACGTTTTTTTCGGTGTTTCAATTCGTGTGTTTTTTAGGCATCTAACAACCATGTACTAACTAGTCCAAAAACACGTGGTTTTTTCTATGTTGAAATTTGTGTGTTTTACATATAGCCAACACCCATGTGTTGGCTTATGTTAAAACACACATGTGTACAGTAGACAGACTCTATGTGAATACAATGCGATTTGGGCCATAAGCTTTTTCGTTCATCTTTGTTTTAGGGCCGTAAGCCTTTTTTGTTCATCTTCGTGTTAGAACTCGACCCAACCATATTTTTTTCTGGCTCCGCCACTCCTTGAAGATTGGCACTATCAGCCTTTTGCTGGCGATGTTCGTCTTCGCTATGGCATAATTGATCGTTGTCATTGTTCCCAATGCCACCGCTATTGGCGATGGCAAAAATATCAAGGCAAATAGGGAAAAGTTGTCTTTGCTGTTGGTCGAGAATGTTGCCGACTTGATGCCGATCATCAAAGACTCACCAAGTTAGTTATCCAAGAATTTACCTCAGTTATCCATAGGGGCGAATCAAATACTTTCCCTTGTTGATCAATGTCTACATCCTTACCTTTATTTATATTTATACAGGGAACTTAATAAAATTCAGGTGCCTGAATTTTAGTTTCTTTTCAGACGACGGTTATTGCACATATTTTTAATAAAATTGCAGATTTGGTTCATTCCAATTTCTATATACGCAATCAGCAATTTTTGGTACAGACAATAAAAACCCTATTAGACAAAACCACAAACTCGACAAAATCTGATTTGTGTTGGCACAAAGACAATTAACAATTTAGAATTATTTCTATAGGCAAACAAGGACACAAATTTAATATGTTGTGACACAAAGACAACAAATCACAAAAGTAACAATTTACTCGTACTAGTTGGTGGTACAGCAGTGTTGTCTAAAATCATCTTAAAATTCAGGTACCTGAAATATAGGAGGAGTGATATTTATAATATATATAACCAGCAGGGGCAGCCCCTCATTCCTAAAAAAATTAATAACATAATACTTCTGCTTCTTTTTCTTTCAAAAAAACATTTAATTATGTATATAGACTGGAAGAATTGCAATGATTACAGTCTTGATATCATCTTCAATGGACAAACATTGTAAAACGTGTTCTTCTAATGTCATGGAGAAACACAGTGAAACAGACCACACTACGCCAGATTCCCTCTGTAGGAACAAGGGCATTTTTACTGTAGGGGCGGCTGAGGTTGGAGGCGCCCCTACAGTGGGCGTCCTCGGGCCCCAGCAGCCCAGCCGCCCCTACATATGGCACTGTAGGGGCGGCTGGTAACTTGAGCCGCCCCTACAGTTGGGGCTGATCTGTAGGGGCGGCTCAATCACCAGCCGCCCCTGTAGTGCCCATTTGTCGTTTTTCAAATTTTCAAATTTGAAAGGTTCAAATTTTGTTAAATGACAAGATGACTAAAATAAAAGTTGTAGATATTAATGAGTTGAACAACTTTGGTATTCATCACTTTTTATGTTGAAATCATTTTGGGTCTCAAATTTTGGTTTGAACTTGTTATTTTTTAAAATTTCAAATTTGAAAGGTTCAAATTTAGTCAAATGACAATATAACCAAAATAAACGTTGTAGATCTTGATGAGTTGAACAACTTTTATATTCATCACTTTTACATCTGAAATCATTTAGGGTTTGAAAATTTGGTTTGAACTTGTCAAATTTCAAATTTCAAATTTTAAAATGTGTAAAACATTGTCACGTCCAAGTTTGATCAAACTTAAATGCTGAAGCTTGATTTTAGAAATTTTTAGAAAAAAAACCATCACATTTAGAGTTAGAATGAGGGAGAACAACTAGTTACAAAGTTTACCCACAGATTAAAAAGAGAAATCACACTGTTCTAGATGATCCTTACATGATCATAGTGAACAGTGTGATTTCTTTTTTTAATCTGTGGGTCAACTTTGTAACTAGTTTTTCTTCCTCATACTAACTCCAAATCTGATGATTTTTTTTCCTAAAATTTTCTAAAATCATTCTCTATCAATTTATTTTGTTGGTTTTGTCAATATATACATATGAAAAGTTTGAGCAATTTAAATTTTGAATTTTAAAAAAAATGCAACTTCAGACAAGATTTTGATACCCCAAATGATTTCAGCTGAAAAAGTGATAAATACCAAAGTTGAATAACTCATCAAGATCTACAATTTTTGTATTGGTCATTTCTTCATATGACAAAGTGGTAATGACATTGTTCACAAATGTGACACATCTCTTATATGGTTTTATAAATTATATGAGACATGTGTAAGATTAGTGAACAATGTGTGCTAAGAATTTATCAAATAAAGAAATAACCAAAATAAAAGTTGTAGATATTCATGAGTTGAAAAACTTTGGTACTCATCACTTTTTATGTTGAAATCAATTTGGGTCTTAAATTTTGGTTCGAACTTGTCGTTTTTCAAAATTTCAAATTTGAAAGGTTCAAATTTTGTCAAATGACAAGATGACTAAAATAAAAGTTGTACATATTAATGAGTTGAACTACTTTGGTATTCATCACATTTTATGTTGAAATCATTTTGGGCCTCAAATTTTGGTTCGAACTTGTCATTTTTTAAAATTTCAAATTTGAAAGGTTCAAATTTTGTCAAATGACAAGATGACCAAAATAAAAGTTGTAGATCTTGATGAGTTGAACAACTATGACATTGTTCACAAATGTGACACATCTCTCATATGGTTTTATAAACTATATGAGACATGTGTAAGATTAGTGAACAATGTGCGCTAAGAATTTGTCAAATAAAGAAATGACCAAAATAAAAGTTGTATATATTCATGAGTTGAACAACTTTGGTATTCATCACTTTTTATGTTGAAATCAATTTGGGTCTTAAATTTTGGTTCGAACTTGTCGTTTTTCAAAATTTCAAATTTGAAAGGTTCAAATTTTGTCAAATGATAAGATGACTAAAATAAAAGTTGTAGATATTAATGAGTTGAACAACTTTGGTATTCATCACATTTTATGTTGAAATCATTTTGGGTCTCAAATTTTGGTTTGAACTTGTTATTTTTTAAAATTTCAAATTTGAAAGGTTCAAATTTTGTCAAATTACAAGATGACCAAAATAAAAGTTGTATATCTTCATGACCTCTACAACTTTTATGTTTAGCAAATTTTCATTTGAGATCATTTGTGTCTCAAAATTATTTTAGTAGTTTTGATTTTAATTTTCTAGCCTACACTCTTAAAGTCGTATACCAACACCCCTCTCACATTTCACTGTAGATAAACAGTACCTCCACCACTACCGTCCGATCCGCATCCTACCGTCCCGCATCGTCCACGCGTCCAGACTTCTGGAATCACCGGCTCCCTCTTCCTCTCCGCTCTCTCAGGCCCGAGCGTCTCGCCCATCGCCCCTCTTCCTCCCCCGACATCGCCGCCCCTCCCTCTCACTTTCCCTCTCCTCCACAGCGCCACCCCTCCCTCTCCCTCACAGCGGCGGCACCTCTCCCTCTCCCCCACAGCAGCGGCGGCTCCGAAGCCCGAGCGTCCCTCCCTCCACCTCTTCCCCACAAATGGCATGCAGAGCGCGGTGCTCCTCACCCACAACGGCGGCGGTGGCTAACCGGAGGAGCGGGGGACCCAGATCCGCCGCGCGCGAGCCTTCCGGCACGACGCGATCTAGGTAATGCTGTCTCTCTCTCTCCTTCATCTCCACGTTCTGAGGTCGCCTGCAAACCCTAGCGGCGTAGCCCAGGTTCCGACGTGTGTAGACCTCTCTCCCTCCTCTGTGTCCATTGTTAACAATTGCTCACGCTGTACTGCGATATTTGCCTCTGAATATTTTTTTTTTGTTGTTGCAGGTACCCAATTGCGCTGGTCCACAGACGCGTTCAACAACAAAGTCCAGTTCTGATTTCTTTGATTGCCTAATTAATGCGATGATCTACGAGGAGTCACAACTAAGTAGGTGATTTCCCCCCAAATAATTGAATTGGTTTGCTATTTTAGGTTTCCAGTATTCATGACTTTGGTTGTATATTCTGCTTACATTTGTTGGTGTGCCTGAACAGGAGCGTTTATTTGTTTTTGTGCCCTCTGAACCAGTGTATACCAATCTTTCTTGGTTTGGTAATTTTAGCTGGATTTTAGGTATTGTATATTGTGGTTTCCTCTTGAAACTTATCCATACGGAAAATGCCTGAACAGCTGCTGCTTTGCACAGGGGTCCACTCAGGTTTATGTTGATTAGTAACTGGAATGGAGATTTAACCATGTTTAAATTTTGAGTATTACCGTTTGCCCATACTCCCGGTTAAGACAAATGGATAACACTAACAAAATCAAGGTAGACATAAATTTACATGCTCTCTCTCAGTTCTGTTAGATCTGCATATTTCATATATGAACCTTTGTAATTGCATTGAAACTGAAGAAATGGCCCTGATACTATATATACACTCGCATAATCATGTGAACATCCGGTGTTTGCCTACAAGGACCGTATATGTTTGTCTGAATCTGTACCTACCAGAGACCAAGCATGGCAACCAAACAGAAAGGTAACAATGGTGCCATGGCATTCATGTTGTTGCAGTATATGCTGACCGTCGGTTCTTTAGTACTGTGATTGCAATAGATTTTACTGTGAACCAGAATCGGGGAGTATGCAATGCTAATCAGTACACACGCTGTTAAGTAATAACACACAAGTATACACAATTCTTTTTGATATGTGGTTACAATTCTTATTAACTTTTAAAGCTATGCACTTGCTGACT